TTTCAAAACCATACATGAAGTTTAGTTTTTGTTTCATTTTAGTATATCGCTGTTAAAAACTTTAATTTTTGTTTCATTTTAGTATCCCCATTCAAAATTTAATGTTTGATTTTTTTGAAAGTTTAGGTACTAAAATGGAATAAAACTGATAGTTTAGGTACTAAACGCGTTAAATTTTTAACGACGAACTAGTAAATGAAATAAAAACTAAACGTTAGGTATGATTTTGAAAAAATTAAAAGTTTAGGCATTAAAAAGGACCAAACTGATAGTTTATGTACTGAATGCATAGTTTATCTTGGATTTTATCATATCTCAATCAATATGTTAACGTTCAACTCAAACATTCGTCAACTTAATAACGAACAAAGGATAAGTTTATAACATAACAAATAGTTGAGTGACCATTTTGTTAATTTTAATACTCGAGGGACTCAACAAAATAATTTCCTATAATCGAATTATTATTTTATAATTTTTAATAATCGACGAACTTAATAAAGTAATCATCTATAACCAAGGGATCATTTGTGTACTCTACCCTGTTTTTATTTATTTTGAAAATATAAAGATGGAAGTTATGGTGAAAAAAAGGAGCAATAATTCAAAAGTGTAGGTTAGCAGACAGAGAGTTGCCTTTTGGGTACTTGAGGAATAATATGTTGTCTCTCTGCAAGAATTGGCGTGAAGTTTAACTCTGCTTTCTCTTTTTTCTCTATCGCCTGGATAACCGCATTATTATTATTATTATTATTATTATTATTATTATTATTATTATTATTATTATTATTATTATTATTATTATTATTATTATTATTATTATTATTATTATTATTATTATTATTATTATTATTATTTTAAAATAAAAGTGTCTCGTTAAGAATCCCTTCTAAACCTAAAAAGGGAAAAGAGTATCCGAATTCATTAACTATTGATAACATCGTTTACAATAACATCATTTAAACATAAGGGATAATCATTGATAACCACATTATTTACTGCACCATTTTAAATTATACACATGATCGAATATACATGGAAGTGTTAAATTTCATTTGAAATATAAAAATATTTTCGAACAATTCATTTTCAATCAAAATTTGACGTTTGAAACGTGATTATTGACTCAAACTAAAAAAATAGGGAAAAAAACGGTATTTTACGTCATAAAAACTCGTTTCGATAAACACTTTTAAACAAAATCAATTGTGATCGGATCAAATAATAAACAGTTTTTATATTACGTGAAGTTTCATATTTAAAATTCAAGAGTGAAAAAAGGTTGGAGAGAACTTATCTTAAAAAATGTTTTTTAATCAAAGTTTAAATTTTAATATTTTTCAATCAAATCCCTTAACTCCAACAACATCTAATTGACGATAGAGGCAAAAAAGAATAGTTACAACTACATCTAAATGACCATCCACTTAGGTGGTGTTTGTTTTTGCAGAGGTAAAAGGTCTGCAGTCTGCGGACCACATCTGCAGGCATCTGCAGCAGAAGAGGTGGACCAAAAGTCTGCAGTCTGCAAAAAGAAGACTGTTTATTTTTTAACGTCTGCAGACTGATAAAATGAACTGAAATATAAATAAACTGATTTTTTAAACTTAAAAGAGTTTTGCAATACTGAGATTTAAATAATTTTAGTTTTACAATACTGAAATTTAAATAATCCATACAACTACAATAATAAATTATTTAAAATAAATCAATTCATATTTTAAAATAAATCAATCCATACTAATAAATTATTTAAAATAAATCAATCCATATTTTAAAATAAATCAATTCATACTAATAAATTATTTAAAATAAATCAATCCATATTTGAAAATAAATCAATCCATACTAATAAAGTAATTAAAATAAATAAATCCATATTTTAAAATAAATCAATCCATACTAATAAATTATTTAAAATAAATCAATCCATATTTTAAAATAAATCAATCCATACTAATAAAGTATTTAAAATAAATCAATTCATACAACTACAATAATAAATCAATCCATATTTTAAAATAAATCAATTCATACTAATAAAGTATTTAAAATAAATCAATCCATACAACTACAATAATAAATCAATCCATATTTTAAAATAAATCAATCCATACTAATAAATTATTTAAAATAAATCAATCCATATTTTAAAATAAATCAATACATACTAATAAATTATTTAAAATAAATCAATCCATATTTTAAAATAAATCAATCAATACTAATAAATTATTTAAAATAAATCAATCCATATTTTAAAATAAATCAATCCATACTAATAAAGTATTTAAAATAATTCAATCCATACAACTACAATAATAAATCAATCCATATTTTAAAATAAATCAATTCATACTAATAAAGTATTTAAAATAAATCAATCCATACAACTACAATAATAAATCAATCCATATTTTAAAATAAATCAATCCATACTAATAAATTATTTAAAATAAATCAATTCATATTTTAAAATAAATCAATACATACTAATAAATTATTTAAAATAAATCAATCCATATTTTAAAATAAATCAATTCATACTAATAAATTATTTAAAATAAATTATTTTAAAATAAATCAATCCATATTTTATAATAATTTATTTTAAAATAAATTATTTTAAAATAAATAACCTTATTAAATTATTTAAAATTATTTTAATAAATAACTATATTTTATAATTGTTTTTGAAGAGGTTTGAAGACCTTTGAAGACATAAAACCAAGTCTGCACCAAGAAGAGCTCGCGCAGACGTTTGAAGAGCTTCTGTCTTCTAAAAAACAAACAGTCTGCGAAGCCTAATGTCTGCGCGTGGTCTGCGCGACGCAGACATAAGTGGTTTGAAGAGCTTGCACAGTGAAAACAAACACCACCTTAGTTAGTTGGTAGAGTACAAGGCTCTTAATTTTGGAGTCGTGGGATCGAGTCTCACGGAGGACATTTTATAATTTGGAGGTCTCCTACGAAAGCTGCTCTCAACCTAGCGTTGGGACAGCCTACTATCCTAACTCCCCTCACCCCATTACATATGGGAACAATAATCAACTTATTTTTTTGCCACTTTCCTTGAATTTCTGCCTTTGTTTGTCCATTCAAAGGAGGGAGCTTCTCTCACTTCCTTTCAATTTTGAGACGTGGGTCTCCCTCTCCCTTTTCCCTTTCACTCTATTCTATAAATGCAACCACTTTTCGTTTTTATCTTTTCTAACTATAATAAGGGTAAAGTACACAGATGATCCCCGACTATAGGGAAATGCTCTATTAAGTCATTTAACTATTAAAAGTTATAAAATAGTTATCCGACAATAGAGTATTACTTTGTTGTGTTCCTCGACTATTAAAAGTTACAAAATAGACACCCGACTATTCATTATGTTTTAAACTCGTCATCTTCTATTAAAAAAATTAACCGTCGCCTAAGTTGGATGTTAATACGATGACTGAAATATGATAATCGTTATCATATAACAATCAACAAGTTAACATTCACGTCAGATTTTTGTATATTTTTTAACGGAAAAGGGTGAGTTCGGAACATAATGAGTAATCGGTGACCATTTTGTAACTTTTAATAATCGAGGACTGAACAAAACATCACATGAAATGATTGTTGTTGTTAGTTCGTATTAGCTTAGGACTTTAGTGTATTTACACGTTAATACTCCCTTCGTCCAGTAATTTGTGTCTTATATTGACTATATACATACTTTTAGGAAATATATTTGACCAAAAGAAATAATAAAATTATCCTTATAAATTGATTGATATGTTTTGATAGGTATAAACTAATGAAACACATATTTAACATGACATTTCGAATGTAATAATTTTAAAAATCAAAATAGACACATTTAATGTGACGAAAGAAATATATACTCTTATGTCCTATCATTAGTGTCTGATATCGCATCTAATTTTAGGAGATATATTTGACAAGAGAAATATTAATTTTAAAATAGGAACATGGTTAAGAGTGATGAGATATTTGTTTTTGCAGCTTTATACTCGTCTTGGATATACTTCATCATGCCATGAAAGTTTTACCACACTGAATGCTTCGTATCAATAAACAAGCATTTTTTGTTTTAATAACAAAATCATTCTTTATGCTTGAGAAAATTTTCGAGATAATATTTTGGAAGAAATTAATTCACGAGCTAATGCACTCTCAAGATTAATTGTTTAAATAGGGTGAAATTCACAGTGTTTGTCGTAGGTCGCCATGCCTTCCGGGCGACCTTGTAGGTCGCAATACACTCCGGGCGACCTTGTAAGTCGCCATGCACTCCGGGTGACCTACCCTTGTTCAAACAGAGAGAATAAACGTGTTGCATGGCACATGCACATCCCAACACATAGGTCGCCATGTACTCCGAGCGACCTACCCTTGCTCGCTCGCTTGGATGCCCTCACATAGTTCGCTCGACTGCCCTCGCATAGTTCGATCGGATGGCATCGGATGCTCTCGCATAGCTCAGTCGGATGCCCAGCGTGTTAGGACGTGAATGGCACATGCAATCTTTTGTAGCTCGCCGGGAAGACATGACGACCTAGTAGTTCGCCCGAAAGGCATGGCGACCTACTATCAATACTGTTGATTTTACCTTATTTGAACAATTAATCTGAAGAATGTATTATCTCGTGAATTAATTTTTTTTAAAATATTATGTCGAAAGTTTTATCTTTTCTATTGTGTATTTATTATTATGAGTGTAGTCAGATATTATGATTATAATTTTATTCGTTTTAATATATATATATATATATATATATATATATATATATATATATATATATATATATATATATAAATAAGAGATGAGAAAGTGAAGATGGAAAGATAAAAAAGCTGCCCAAAATTTAGAAATAAATAAACAAAAAGGAAAAGGAAAAGAATGATGAATGAGAAGGAAGTATAAAGAATTGAGGTGTGGCCTGTTGTTGTGTTTCTAAAATTATACTCTTCCATTTCATTTCAGATTATCTATTCTGAGCTCAAAGTCTCAGCTTTATTTTTCTCCAAGCTTTTTACGTTACTAAGAGAGAAAAGGGGTGGGGAGGTGTTTGGAGAGTGGGAAAAGGATAGGAAAATAAATTTAGTTGAGAAAATTTTGGTTTGGGAAGTTTATGCTCAAAGGGGGAGTTGGTGTGGGGGGTGGGTTTTGGCCAAGTGATGCGCTCAGGAGCCTGTACGGTTCAGCAGACCCTCACGGCGGAGGCTGCTTCGGTATTGAAGCATTCTCTCGGCTTAGCACGGCTTAGAGGCCATGGGCAGGTGACTCCGCTTCACGTGGCCGCCACTTTGCTAAGCTCAAGAACAAGTCTTTTGAGAAGCGCTTGTCTCAAGTCTCGGCCGCATCATCATCAGCAGCACCAAGCTTCTCGAGCCCTCGAGCTTTGCTTCAATGTGGCTCTCAACCGGCTACCGACGACTCCGGAACCGATCCTCCATGACCAACCCTCGCTCTCCAACGCTCTCGTCGCCGCACTCAAACGAGCACAAGCGCATCAGAGAAGGGGTTGCATCGAGCAACAGCAACAACAACAACCACAACCGATCCTCACTATAAAAGTCGAGCTAGAACAGCTTATCATATCCATTCTCGATGACCCTAGCGTCAGTAGGGTTATGCGAGAAGCTGGCTTCTCCAGCACCACTGTTAAGAACAACATCGAGGACTCGTCACCTTCACCGCTCTTTCACTGTTACACCACTTCTCCGATCATCAACCCTAGCACTTTCTGGCAAACCCCATTTTTCTTCTCCCCTCAAAAGAAACTCCCGAGCAACCACGTAACCGATTCTTCGTCTTTCAAAGAAGACATCAAGTTGGTTTTCGAGGTTTTCTCGAGTAAAAGAAGGAGAAACAGTGTCATAGTCGGCGACTCAACTGAGAGTCTCGTTTCTGAACTGACGTCCAGTATCGAAAGAGGACATGTCCCTGAGGAAATGAAACGTGCCAACTTCATCAAATTTTACTTTCCGCCTATGTCTTTGAGATTCATGAAGAAAGAGGACGTCGAAAACCATGTGAATGACCTGAAAAGGAGAGCGGATTCCATTGCATGTGGGGGATCCGAAGGTGCCATTATCTATACAGGAGACTTGAAATGGACTGTCGAAGAGAATCTCAACGGAGAAAGAGAAACAACTGATCATTACAGTGCAGCGGATCATCTTGTGACTGAAATCGGAAGGTTGATCTCCGACTACAACTTGTCCGACACAAAGGTTTGGTTACTGGCAACTGCTAGTTACCAAACATACCTGAGGTGCCAAATGAGACAACCTCCTCTTGAAGCTCAATGGGCACTTCAAGCTGTGTCGGTTCCCTCTAGTGGACTCAGTTTGAGCCTCCATGCTTCCAGGTAATTGGCTCGTTCACTCAACATGCATTATTTACCATGCTTTGTCGGGATATAGCAGCTGCATGCGTTTGCTTTTTCTTTTTCCTTTTTGGTTTATTTCATGTCCTTCCCTCATGTTTCATGCTTTGACGTGTTCGATTCTTTTGAGGAAATAAAAGACAAAAACTCATCCTCCTTTTGCTTTCAGCTTCAATTATTCTGTTGCTTCGGCTATACATGCATACGTGTGTATTCACACACATATGACATAAAACAATGATGGGATGTGATTTTGATATTGTGCAGTTCGAATCACGAGAAAGACGTGCAGTCGTTCAATAATGGCAGCCAAAAGGTAACAAAAATTTTGAAGTTATAATGATGCAATCCCTTCATATTTTTTCCCGTTTCTACTATAAACGAGTCAGTCTAGTTAGAGTATGGTTGAGTTTGATTTAATTAAAAAAATTTAACATAAAATTGGATCGATTCAAAAATTCGTGTGTCTAAAATTTTTAAACTTTATTTAACTAAAAATTATAAATTTAAACTCGTAAAATCTTAAAATGATTTTTTTTTTTAAATTTAACTTGATTAAAGACTCGAATCCGAACCCGAACCTTAAATACATAAAAAACTTATATTGCATTTTTTTTTAAAAATGACACATAAATATTAATTTTATTACTATTTTATTTTTAAAAATTATAAAATCTTAATATATTATATTTTCGAGATACTCACTAGTTTTTCGAGTTTAGTATCACGTAGCTCATTTCGGCTCGGTAAAAACTCGAGTTTAGTTAGAACTCGAGTCCATTTAAATCGAATATTTATCAAACTTTGATCAAATTAATCTCGAATAACTCACAATCTTTCTAGTCTCGTTTACATCCTCACATAGTCTTAATGATCAATTTAGTGTTTTATCTATATGCTTGCAGGATGAAATGGTTGAACTAATGAGAAAGTATAACACGGTATGCCATAGTTTACACCGAGAAAGGCAGAATCAGAGCCATTCGAGATACCCTTGGCGGCCTAGTGAAAGCAGTGGCTTATCGTACTCGACTCCGATCTCTTTCGCAGATTCCGATTTGAAGCCGAACCGATCAAGTGAACCGAACTTTGATTCACTTAAGAACAGCGAGGAGTATAAACAGGTAAAGGTCACACTTGCGCTTGGTACTGCTTGCCTAGGGAAACCGGCAAGAGACACGAGTGGTGGATTGTGTGATTTGTCTAGGAACCATGACTCAGTGATCCAAATGAAGCTCAATGTCAATGGAAAAAGTACACCAAAGAGCACTGATAACAAGAGAAAACTCGAGTGGGGTGAGTCAAACAAGACCAAAACACAAAGAACACGACCGAGTTCCCACATTTTTGACCTGAACATGACGGCCGATGAAACCGACGACAGCTGCTGTGAGTTTAGTCCCATGTCGAGCGACATAACAGCCGAGCCAAATGTCCAAAACGGGTTCCTAGGATGCATTGAAAACCACCACACATTCAACAAAACCGAAGGCCAATACAGGGAGATCGTCAAAGGGCTCTTCATGGACAAGATGAAAGGGGTGGTGGAGGAGACTTTGGGGGGTAAAAATGGGATTAGATTTAGCGTTGAAGATAGGGTATTGGAGGGGTTTTTATTTGGTTCAAGTTACTTTGTGAACAGCCTTTTTGACAAGTGGCTGAAAGACATTTTTCAAACAGGCCTACAAACTGTGGAAATTGGAGGGGGAGAGGGGGGTATAGTTGAAATTAGATTGAGTTACGGGGGTATACTTGAAAAATCCATGGGGAATGGATACATGGGGAGTTGTCTCCCTAGCAAAATCCAAGTTTGTTTCGGGGTTTAGTTTGAGGGTTTCTCATGTAAAATTCCTTACAATACCGAAAATGACCATAATGATCGGTTTGTGTAACTGCTTACTTTCATAGGACGTGTGTTGTAATATATAAACCGTCATACAAAAGGGAAGAAAGAAGTCCTTTTGAATAAGGTTCCCTCTCCATATCTCTTTACGATTGTTCATTGTCACCTTCAGTTTGATTATTCTTTCTATTCTCTATAAAACAATTAATTGCGACTTTCCACTCATTTTTAGAAAAAATGAATTGGTAGAAGTCGTAATAATCATATTTTTACTACCAATAGCACTCAAATAGAACAAACTCATGATAACATTTAGGATAAATTACACATTTAGTACCTAAACTTTTAGTTTTGGTCCGTTTTAATACTTAAACTTTTAAAACTATAACTAAAGTTTAGTTTTTTTTCATTTTAATATCCCGCCGTTAAAAACTTTTGTTTTTGTTTAAGTTTTAGTACCCTGTTCAAAATTTAACATTAAGTTTTGATTTTTTTTTAAAGTTTAGGTACTAAAACAGACCAAAACTAATAGTTTAAGTACTCAACACGTTAAGTTTTTAACAACGGTACTAAAATGAAATGAAAATTAATCGTTGGGTATGATTTTGAAAAAAAATTAAAAATTTAGGTATTAAAACGGACCAAAATTGATAGTTTAAGTACCAAGTACGTAGTTTACCCTAACATTTAAACTTAAAATTAAGATACAATATTTACTGATAATAGGATTCAAACCTAAAACAACAAAAGTATTGGCATGGAATGCCGTAGTAGACAACAACCAACAAGATTAGCATAATTTAAACAAGTATAATTAAATAACATAATCATTACATTAGAAATTTAGAAACCGTCAAGTGAACCACTAATCATTAAGCTCTTGTATCTTTAATCATACCCTTCCTCTTTGATGATAAATTATATTATTATTACTTTCGCCCAAGCACGCTTAACTGCGAAGTTCTGATTGGATCCGATGCATTAATGTTGTTATGATCGCACCCAAAAAATAATTGTTTAACAACGTTAACCATAACTTCTAAAATTTCTTTTTTAAAAGATAACTATTTTTTTGAATGTGTTAATTTGGGGCAATTTTTTTTAAAAGATAACTACCAATAATTAAAAAAAGGCAATTTTTTTATTAATACGGGCTATCACAATATCTGTTTAAAGATAATTATCGATCATTTGATATTGAACACTTACGTCTCTGATATTCCTAGTGCTCGAACCCGAAATCTCAAAGAATAATAATAATTCATTTACATCGAGGTCACTCTTTCCGTAAAAAAAACGATATTAATTACATAAAGATAGTGCATCTTTTAGGTTTTAAGAGTTGTGTTAACTTAGTGACATATAACTATAGATAGCAGGGAGAAATTATTTGTTAGGCGAAAGGAGTTATGATTTTTTTTTTTTAATTTAAAAAAAAACTTTTCAGTTTAATTATTTTCTTGTGTCTTGTAATTTTTTAAAATTGAAAGTTTATGTATTAAATTAGATAAAAGTTAATAGTTTAAATATTAAATGTGTAATTTATCTAAAAAAACGACAGATTATGAATCAAATAAATGTATATAATAGATGATTTGACTGTAATCAATACTCATTGATCATCATATAATTAAGCCAAAAAGAGAGATCAAATTCACGCTTAATGTATTTAGGGGCTATCTGTTTGTCTTTTAATAGAATTATGCAGCGTTGAATGTTGTTGAATGCTGAACCGTTCAACATTCAACACGTTTGTTTCGCACATCTGAATGATTCAGTGCTAACTAATTCAACAAAACAGTACTGAATGATTCAGCACAGAAGTACATTCTGAATGATTCAGAGCCATTATCAAACAGTATGTCACATTCAGAGTTAATTCATATAGAACTTCCGAATCATTCAACACTTAATCATTCTAAAATAAACAAACATCCCCTTAATCGCCGTCTAGCAAACCATATACATAAGAAATAGTAAAATTCCACTTTTGAAATTTAATTTCTTTTTGAACCATTATTTTGACATTTTTTCTAAAAAAAAAAGAAAAGAAAAGAAAAGAAAATTATTATTTCATCAAACGGCGGATGTGGGACCTGTCCTCCAATCACAGATACTATCAAATCACTATTATTCCATCTCTTTTCCCTCCAATTAATTAATAATCATTAATTGCTAATAAGAAAATAAAATTCGAAAAGCTTTTGTCCAGCACTGATTTGTTTTAGGAAAATCTTTCAAGGTAAATAACGCGTTAAAACTTAAATTGTTAGTTTTAATATTTTAATTTTAATTTTTTTAAAATAATACCTAAAGTATAAGTTTTATTTCATTTTAGTACTCCTATTCAAAATTTAACATTAAGTTTTGGAAAAGAAAAAAGAAAGTTTAGGTACTAAAACGGGTCAAAATTGAAAGTTCATGCACTGAAAGCGCCAAGTTTTTAACGATTTGATACTAAATGAAACAAAAACTAAATGTTAGATATGATTTTTTGAAAAAAAAATAAAAGTTTACGTACTGAAACGGATCAAAATTAAAAATTTAGATACTAAATGTGTAATTGACCCCAAGCTTTTTATATGCGATTGAGGAAGGATGGATATACTACTATAGAAATACATTGGTATATCCCTTGGAAATCACAAGACATCCTCCTTGGGTATGGATAAAGTTTTAATGTAAAAAAAGATCATGATAACTCATACTATTCTACATCATATTTTAATTATGATCATTAAGAATGATCAATCTGTCAGTATAATATATTTTTTTCTAAATTTATTGAATTATTATAAAATAATCCTTAAATTAAAATTTATTATAACGTTATAAGGATTTTTTTTTGTAGCTTTTTAGAATTTTAAATAATTTAGTGGTCGCTAGTATATTTTACCTTGTAACTTAGCAAATAAGTGTAATACAAGAACTACAATGAATATCTATTTCTAAATCCAAACATTTAAATTCTGTATATAATGATTACATCTAACATAGAAATGAAAAATAATGAAAACATAACAAAAACCTACGTAAAATGAAATAACCAAAATCCAACCCGATCCGATCCGAGTACCGAGCAAAATATTGCGGAAATTAAAGAAAAAAAGGAAAGCAAAATGGCTTTTACTTGTATGAGATTACAAATATACATAGATGTTACATGACTTCGAAAATTAGGAGATAGGGGCAGGGGATGCCTAAGCTCAAGAATGAGTAAACAATTATGAAGGGAATAAACTAACAACATCAGACAAGGGATTAGCTAATACCTACCAAGAATGGCACTAAACCAGAGGACCTAATCGACGGCAGGGGGTATATCTGGGCTCGCCTTACCGGCATATACAAAAGGATGCAAAGGCAACAAGCTCGAACCTAAAAACATAAAACCTCGAATGGGTATTTATAGAAAATTTAAAAAGATTTGAAGAATCTACAGTTCGAGGTCGAGAACCGGTCTTAGTCTTCTCTCCGCTTCGGTGCTTTGTAGATCAATCTCTTCCAGAATCATAGATAAAGCGGCTTTGCAGGATTCGTCATCCCTGAAAGCTAGGGTCCATCTCCCGTCGACTAGAGATTTTGCCCTCATTTCCCTGGGCGTGCCAGGTTTAGAAGAATCTGAAAATGGTAACGTTGATGGGCGAATCCGTAAGTGTAGCCATCTTGGATGCTTATCATCTATTCTGGGCTGAAGATTTTCAGGACATTAGCATAATTGCAAGGAAAGGACATAAAGTATGAATGTCATGATATTCGCCCTTGATATTCAAGAATCCAAAACAAACAAAAGTACGATTACTTCGGCTTTTGCAGCACTCAAATTCTGGTTAATGACCTTTAAAAGTAAATTCATGTGTCGAGTTTTCTATTAAGGCATATTAGCACTAGAATAATATTTCTTTTAATTGAGAAGGTGCCTCGATAAAACTGCTCTTCCGAGGAGGCAGAATGGAAAAAGAGTGCACCTGTGTGGTCTTCCATTGATCACAACAAATAGGTACGAAGCCAGGGACCAATACACAAGTTGCTGGCTGTTACGACCGCGTTAAATTTTTATCACATCCTAGAGAAGCAAGTTTAGCAAGATAACAAGCCAAGGACTAATTCAGTAATCAACTTTTAATTAAAATTATTTTTTAAAAAAACGGAATTGATATATATATTAATACTGAATCTAAGTTTCAAATAGTTTCAAATTTTTGTCAGTTCTCAGATTTATGGTAAAGGTTGATTCGGGTGTAGGTCAAGTTTGATTGTTTTTCAGTTTTGGTTGGGCAGGTATTTTGTGCTAGGTTTTGCCAGCTGTAGACTTTGGACTATAAGATGTGCCAAGACCAACCTCAAGTCCTTACTAGTTCCCAATCTCACTAATTATGTCAAAACTCTTAAGCTGATATTTCAGACGGGAACCGAAAAAAATAGCACAGGAACAAGCATTCGATCAAGTGCATACAAGTTCTGCGGCATCTAGTACGAAATACACAATAGAATATATAGTTGAGCTTACATTTGTTCCAGCCAAGGGAGCAGCAACACGAACTATGCCATAAATCTGCTTCAATGGTAACTCTTCAGCAAGAACAACCCATCCCAATGTGCCCACAGAAACTGCTAGAAAGTGGAAATGACGTTCTTTGCCCCTTTCAAATGAAATCCGACAAGGCAGTGCATGAACTGCAATGGAAAAGACCAAAGTTAGGGAATTGAAAATGGTAAACACAGTGCAGTAAACACACACATAACTTACAGAGCCAGCAGTAAAAGAGAGAACAGACCAAGTTTTATTTCGGTGCCTGGCTTCAGACCTGAAACATCTAGACCAACTGCCTTGGCACGGGATGTTTCTGGGATATCAATTGGATGGATAGGTGGCTGTTCAGGCAACGTCCTACCAAGGGAGAAAATTTGAAGCTGATGAAGAAGTAAAAATACCTAACATATAAAGGTTAGAAATATTAGCAATCAGAAAGGTATAAAGTCATGCCAAAGGAATAAAAAGGATGAACTGTTAGTACAGTTAGACCAGCAGAAGAAAGCAAAGAAACGGACATTTCTAAACCAGATTCTAACATTAAACATGTTTGCATTGATAAAAATGTAATTTGATTTATAGAGAGAGCATATATACAAACCTTCACCGATTCACACATCCTCTCACCAGCAGCGAAGGATAATTCAGCAGAAATATCTGTACATGCAACAATGAATATTCCACATTTAAAAAAAACTAGAAGAAACAAATTTCAGAAAAAATGGTTGAAAACCATCCAATTTTTTAACAATAATCAATCCTACCTTCAGAATTCAATTTATGAAATGGCAAAAGTATGCTCTTGGGCTCCGTTTGAGGGGATGAAGCCTCAATAGCTACAATAAACTGTTTTAGTAAAAAACTTAACCACTAAAATCACTATTTACATCATTAACTTCTTAAGAGACTACCTCTTTTGCATTTTTTCCACTGATCACAAAGCACCGTTTTAAGCAGATCAACCCAAATCCCTTTAGTCTCCTGTAGAAGAGCATTTCTGCAGTTCCGATACGAGTCCTGCACATAATAAGAATGTTTACTAATAGCTCATTTACAATTTAGTAAAAAAGTGAAGTGCATAAACCAATAAGAAGAATTTGCACACATTTTCAAATTAGAAACATAATAGAAGATGTTATGAAGTACATTGAAGATGGTTATGGAGGAACTTTTCCTAATCAAGGATTATATGATTTGTATTTATGTATATTTACACGTACAAGATGCTTATAAATGAAACAGATAATATTTTCCCTTTCAAATCACAATAATTACCGTCAATAATAATATCACGGAAGTTTAATATAAACGGAACTAGCATGGTAAGATTCCTTGAATTTAAGGTCGCAATACGATTCCTACTATATCTTGTATATTCAGAGAGATATCGACCTTCAACAATTTAAGATGATGGGTTTTGAACTCCGCCTCACTATAAGGAAGCAATTGTCGCAAAAGCCAACCGGCATCCCACAAAATCTCTGTAGAAATGTTTGAGCGACAAAGAAGCTTGACCAATGCATCAAGGACCTACAATAGAAATTTAACTTCAAAAATTATTACGATTTTCATATCACTGATAAATCTACATAATATTTGAATACTTTATGCATAGCATGTTATTTTGAACATATTATTTTTCATATCAATAAAGCATAATTTGTATAATGTTCGTTAGTAGCCGTATGAGATTATGCAATTATCATGATGGATTAATGCATAAATTATTTGTATATTATCATTTAGATGTTTAGAATTTCAAATTGTGATTGTTTGGAATCAAAATCCTCAAGAAAATTTTTATTATTAATCTATCGAAGCAGAGTTAATGCTACAATTAATACATTTATTAGTCAATTTTACATTCATAGCTTACTATTTTCTAAGTAGTAAATTATGAAACTTCTGTACAAATAATATATGGAAAAAAAACATTGCATCAATGTTAGCAATTTTTATAGAAAACATATATTTCTACTTCTATTTAATCATTGATAGTATCCTTAATAGACATTTGAAAATTAATTATAATTCTATTTTTTCACATAATAAAAACTAACAGACTATCCTTTTTCTTTGAGTGATTATAAAATTCCACCAAAGAATGGATAAGTGAATAAAATAACAAGAAAAAGAACGCAGGGTGAACAATATGTAGCCCCTAATTTAGTAGAGTGAAAATACCTGGTTTCTATGTATACGAGGACTTGCTCCCACTCCTACGATAGACACTCCGTATTGTTCCTATTAACCAGTGAAGGAAAAGGAAATTGCACAAAAATCATACTTTAGAAATATAAGTTCTTTCCCCTAAAATATAGAGCAAGCAGCAGCAATGAATAACTTTTATCAATCCACACTCTTGATAAGGCAACCAAAGAAACCAACATAGAAATTGTCAGTAGCATGAATTGATAAAAAACTTAACATTTAGAAAGAAAATTGTTCAATTTATCAGTTGTTTTTTTTCTTGACACAATTTCCTTTTGCTTTCTTTCAAGGGTATGTGTGCGTGCGTGTGTGCACGCGTGTAGAGAGAGAGAGAGAGAGAGAGAGAGAGAGAGAGAGAGAGAGAGAGAGAGAACAATACCTTCAACTTTTTTAAATATCCATCAAGCTCAGTACTAACACTATCTCTTGGGGAGCCGCTTTCAAAAGAAAAAAGTTGCTCTTCGCCTGAGCCCTCGCCTACCAAAGATTGCTGCCCAAATTTAAGACAAAAGGTTCAAGAGTTCAATCAAATTGGTAAAAGCGGAAGAATTTCCTAAAAAGAAATTAGGTACAAAATAACAGGTGAATATGTCTCCAAGTTTTTTATTCTACTCTTGGGCATCCAGTCATAGGTATTAAATTGAAGCTCCTCCTCCAGGTCGAAGTTCCCCTGAGGCTACACCGGGTTCCTTTCCACTTGGATCGCTGGAAAAATTGTAAAATCAGCTTGGGAAGGAAGTTGTACCTGGCGGTGGAACCACCGATGGTGAGATTGGTTTAGCTTCAAGGCCATGTTCAATTTTGGAGTCTTCCTTACCTAGTGCCCTCGATCGATCACATCAAAACGTTGTGGAGTCTCGTGCCCTGGAAGACGGTATTAGTATGGGTCTATTGGTTTCTAATGGGGCAATAGGTGATTCAATCCAGTTGCAGGGAGAGGATCTTGGGAAGGGCCCAAAGCTCGGGAAGAAAAAGAAACCTCGCGAATCTAAAAAGAGCAACCAAAAGGCTAAGGTTGCTTAAGTGTCTAGGAGGAAGCTTGGGCTTTGGTCTGTTAGCGGTTTTTGAAGGAGTTTTAATTGATTGGATTGTGTTGTCCAAATATGTAGATGGTTCGCCTCTTGGAGTCGGTTGTGTTTTTTTCGCATTAATGGATTTGGGTGTTGCTTTTGGTTATTTTGGTTTTTAGTGATGTGAGGCTCGGGATAGGTGTTAGTTGGTATCGGATAGGGCTATCCTTGTTTTATTTGGCTGTTTGAGGGGGGTTTCTTAGAGGTTTTCTTGATTTGGTGTCTGTATCTAGATTGGTGCGTCCTTTCCTATAAGGTGTACTGGTTTGATTATTTAATAAATCATGAGGTACTCTTTTCCTCCTTCCAATTTTCGTTGACATACAATTTAGTATGTTGATGATTATGAAGAGGGTTTTTAACAAGGTCATAGGTATTAAATTAATATTCAGACTTTTTTTTCCTTTCAAAAGTACTTGCATCTGGCTCTGCTGCCCATGCATGTTAGACATTATTAGACTCCACTGAGGAGCATTGATATAGTGCTTATCATTATGGACCATCAGATCATCCTTGAGGAATATTGAACTATAGGCCACTGATGAATTTTCATAAAAATTCATAGGAAAATAAGCAAATCGTTTAGAAATAAGATGCTAGGAGCCCACTATTCGCTATGAAGATAATGACTGGACATTAAAACTTACCAGCAAGTGTTTTTTGTGTTGTTTGCGCTGAGGAAGAATACCAAGAACATCTAGCATTGACTCATCCAATTCTACAATGTAAATACTCAATAAGAAAATAGCAATAGAAAACATATAAGGGATATGAAATTCCTCATCATTGTTACCTTTAGTTTGCAACAATGTAGCCAACACATTCAAAGAACCCAGGGCTCGTGCATCATCTCCATCAGTGATATAGGAAAGCAAAGTCTCCCTAAACATAGTGTGAATGCAAGTCCACAATTAGACCATATACAACACAAAAAGTTATGAAAAATAACCTACAATGAAGATCATTAATTGCTATCGGAAAGGGAAAATCATTATAAACAGAAAAATTGTTTTTCTTCGATTTTCTATTTTTCACATAATAAAAAAAAGCAGAGTATATAGTATAATAATTACAATTAGACCGGAGGAAATTAACTTAGACTTAGATTTCAAGATGAAAAGAACCATAGTAATAACCCTGTAAAGACAGGAATCTAACAAATTCAAACCCATGATGCTGGTACAGAAATCACTAACCAAAATTATATTTACCTGATTATTATACCAGACTGTAAAATTAAAGGCCATGTTCAAAAGAAAAACATATTTTGTACTTTATCAAAATATATATATCGTATTTTATCCTTTATAAAAAAAAATTATATCCAGAGTAACAAAAGATTTATGTAAAAGAATTACAACAAGAAATAATGAAAATTTTGAATTACGAATTGATTATTCACTGTGGATATATTGCTAATTAATATTTTTCATAATAGAAAACAGAGCATGAAATGTAAAACCAATAAGCATGGGTAATTGGCTGTAATTAATGAACACATGTTTTACCTCAAAGAAAAATATGAACAAGGAAAACTTCTCTCTGCCATAATTCCTTCAGGATGAACATGTGAAGAACTAGCCTCACCAGATATATCAACACGTAAATGTCCAAGATTCACAGGGGTAACACTATCACTGTATGGCTCTTCCTTTTCATTTGCACAATTAGTTCCAGAAAAATAGCCATTGATTTTAGCTTCAGAATTTGCAGCAAGAGACTCAAGTGGATATAAAAGCGCTGCAGCAATGGTGTTTGCCAGATCTTTGATTTTTACAGTGCGCAAGATGCAACAAAGTAGGTACAAAGAAGTGACTGCACCAATCTTCAGGCTCTATATTAAGGAGGTAACAAAAATAGTTAGCATTTATACATGTCAAAGGTTAACTTTAAAATCACAAAAGCCCTCAACAACCAGGTTTCTTTTTCCTCTTTTTCATTACAGAATCCAGAAAGAAGAAAAAAGTAAAGGAAAAAGCTCCATACACTGTCAGTGTCTATTTGAAGAGCTGGAAACAACGAAGGAAGAATCAAAAGCTGCAAAATGTTGTCTGTTATTAAACTCCCAACAAAAGGAATCCCAGCAGAGATAACATCACTAAAATAGTAGAGATTGTCCTCAATTTCATCCACTGTAGCAAGTATCGCATAGACTGACTCCGAGCATGGGTTTCTGTTCAGCCACAACTCCTATAATGTTAGGAAATAAAAGGAGTTCTGTTGTTTCGCAAAGGGGTTATTACACAGACACTTACTCTAGGTATTCAGAAACCAATTTGCTTAAATTGATGCACTGCTCCCGGAAAAATGAGACTAAGTTTGTAAAATAATCAGAATGAGGGGCACTAGTGATGAACTTGTTGACAAAATCATCTCCAACTGGATCAAAAAAGAGGCATCAGAATATAAAATTATTTGTACAAACAGAAATGTATTGAGAATGGTATAATTTGGAAATTAAAAGCAAATGAATAAATATAGAAAAATAGAAACCAACCATGATAAACAGTCAGTGTTAACGAACGCACTGCTGTGCGAACCATGCTTTCTTCATGAAAAGCAAACCGTATTGCCTCAACATACAAAGGGAAAGAAACTACTTCTTCCTAGAAAACATGAAAAATATTAGAAGTCAGACAAATAGGAAGTAGATTGGAAAGGAGAGACGATAATTTTTATAGGGAAAAATATCCCATACGTAAAAAGAGATAAATACTTACATCTTGAGTCTTTACAAGAAGAGAAATCGTATTCTTGTTTAGCTTCCCGCTTATTGCTCTTCACAAATGCAGCATGCCAATTAAAATACCATTGTTATATAAAAAAAAAGAAAGAAGAAGCTTTTGAGACTTGAAAGGGATTAGAAAATTAATAAAATAACTACAGAAGCCAACTATGGTGATGAGGTCAGTTGAAAGAAAGAAAACAAACCTTAAGAATGATATATAGTAAGAAAGTATCTCTTCATTGTTGAAGTCAAATGAATAAGTTATAAGGTAGTTAACATGTTCGTTACTGAACATATAATCTGCAAAATTTTCACGAGGAAGATAAATAAAATCATCCAACAGCGTTAGAATCAACTAAAAGGACCAATGACCTGTAAATTTGTTCTTTCATCAAAAACCAACTTACATATGGCATTTTCTCTTCTTAGGTTTTGAATCAAAATGCTTATTGTTTGAAGTAACTGAAGAGCAACACTAATAGTTTTGCTAATATCCAGTATTCGTACGAACTCTCCCATGATTTGCTTCTCCATGAAAAAACTGCAGGGAGAATGTATGGCATAAAAGTGCTGAAACCAGAAACGTTAATCATGTAGGTATTAAGCATGAAGAAAACTCACTCAAAAAAGGATGGATCATGTTGATCACCATATGTCAACAACTCCGCAATGGATCTCAATGCCTCAATAACGAAATCCTTCATAACCAATAAAAATATGAGGGCAGACAAAACGTGGTAAATTGTAACTGCAGTAATAACAATAGTAAAGGAGTTTCTATTACCTTATTAACTTCATTAACAATTTGAACTTTCTGCAGCTGGTTTGTTAAGTATCTGCATGCTAGGAAACACGGCCATAAATCTAAAAGCATTATTTCAAATTCAAAGGTAAAAAGTCCAACCCACATTTCAGGAGCAATCAAGCTGTTCTAACTATTTAAGGAATTCAAAAGCTGAGATTCAACTATAAATATTACATGCTTGTTCAAGGAATTCCAAGGCAGCATTTCAGTGTCATCACAGCTCTCTTACTAATAGAAAAGAAATATAAACAACATTATATTTGATTTCAACATGGCCAGTGATTGCGTATAGTATTCATGATAATATAACATTTCACACTTAATCCCTGTTTGGTAGACAGCTTCACTACATGTCCCCCCCCCCATAAAAAACATAAACAATTAGAAGGGGGAAAAAGCATATTTGATTAAGAAAAGAAAGCAGCACATAGCAAAAATATAACATTTTAAAACATAATGATTCCAGTGAGAAGTAAAAGTTCATTCATTTTATGTTATTCACAGAACTTAGAAATTCAAATTATTTTTCTTAAAAAAAAGAAAAATAGCAAAAGCAACAAACAAAAGAAAGCATACTACTAAGCAATTGCCCAAACTAAATTCAAATTCTAACGACGATCCTCAAAATTACAAAGGAGTGAGAACGAAATTGAATGATTAAGAGAAAAGGAGGAGATAAAACCTGAGTTCGTCCAAGGAGAATCGATCTCTGGATCTCCAGAAGGAAAACCACATGATTGCTTCCTCAAACTTCAGAATTTGGCTCACCGCGATTCATTCTAGCTCCACCGTACGATTGATTCTCACTAATCCCGAAGCCCATAAAAGGAAAACAATGAAATTCGCTTCAATCTCAGCAATTAAACGATTTTGATCAGAATAGCTTCAAGGGATCTCGATCGATGACAAGTTGTGCTAGAAAATCAAGGGGGAATAAACTTTTTTCTGTGTAATCCGTAGCCAAAAGTGTAATCAATTGAAAATATGCAAGGTGATTGAGATTATTGTTATGACGGATTTCTTCCCTCTTTTTTAGCTAGAAAGGCCGAGAAAGCCTTTGAATGATGGTGGCTGGCATCGCTCGGGTTACGGTTTGGGTCACATTCGTATTGGGTGGATCAAGCCCGATACTTTATTGGGTGGCTTTCGGTTCTCAAGTTTCCATTTGAAACCCACAAAAGAAACTCTGTCCCTCTTATTTAAGGATAGATATGAGATTTAGATTCTATAAGCTTGAAATGATTTGATTTTAGGGTAAAATATACAAATTGTACCCCGATTATAGAATATTATTATTTTTAGTCTTCCAACTACTAAAAGTTACAAAATGGTACCTAACTATTCATTATGTTCTAAACTCGTCATTTTTCGTTAAAAAATTTATATCGATTTGAGTTGGACGTTAACCTACTCACTGTGATATGATAGTCGTTTGAGATTCTAAGATCATATTATATCATATATCAGTCAACAGTTTAACGTCCAATTTAATTTGTCATTATTTTTAACGACAAAAAATGAGTTTGGAACACAATGAATAGTCGGGCAACTATTTTATAATTTTTAATAGTTAGGGGACTTAAAAAAAACAATGCATTATAGTCGGGGGACCATTTTATAACTTTTAATAATTAAAGGACTCAATAAAATAACACATTATAGTTAGGGGACTATTTATGTAATTTGCCCTTAATTTTATAATACCAACTTTTAAAAATTTAAGTTCATTTCAGGCGTTTTAAAATATAAAATTTATTTGGGTCGAGTCTGGATTTATGGTGAAAATTTTCCGATTCAACCTAAACTAATAGTATAATTATCCTTTATATATTTAGAGAAAAATTGCAATAATATTATTTTAAAAAATAGTAGTAATAATATTTATCTTTTTATATTTTTAATTACATATTTTTTTACCTAGTAATAATGTGTGTGTGTCATATTATGCTATATGTGTGTTTTTACCTTAAAGATGAAACCTTCCTAAATTCAAACTTGTAATATAATTACCAAACTTTTAATTTATTTTCTGTAAGGTCTCTGAAGTTACCTCTCATTAGTTTTATCTGACCTGGTACATTAATGTTATTTTTCAGCTTAATAATAATTAAAAAAAATATTCTCAAACAACACCATATAAAATGTAGGATAAGTTAAAAGGGTTTTAAATTCTTTCATTGATCAAAAGACTTAGATAAATTATGTTTAATTTGGGTTTTTTGGTTTAGGTTTTTTTTAGATTATTGACCGTTGTGGATGAAAATGAGAGAGAGAGAGAGAGGGAGAGAGAATGACTCAAAGCAGAAAGTATAAGCAAAAAAAATCCCTAAATCCTAAATTATCTTCTTAACCCAATGTAACCAGGTACAATAAAAACCTCAAGCAAACCACCCAAATCACTCGCCCAAACTTTTTTCCCCTCTCTATGGCTCTTATCTTTCATAGTAAACCAACGATAACAGTACATAAACGTGAATTCAATGAGGGATCATATCAAATAAAAGAATTACAATTTCTTTTAAATACACACCCATGGTTAACACACCAAAGAACCTCCTTCGAGTTTTATTACTCATTCAAGCTATGCGTAAGGCAGTTAACATTCCACAAAAACATGTTGGGATTGCAGTTGGTGTCTCCACTGCTAGCTTCGATTGTTGATCAAACAAAGAGAATAAGAGAAAGGGAAATTTAATTTTTAGGGGTTCCAGTCAATTTTGAGTAATTTTTTTCATTAAGTTGAAATGGGTTAAAAGGATTATTTTATTAAGTTAAAAAATAATTGTAATGTGCCACATCAGATAAAACTAACCAGAGGTAACACCAGAGACCTTACTGAAAATGAACTAAAAATTTGATGATTGTATTGTAAGTTCTAAAAGTTGGATGACCAAAATACAAGCACCCTAAAAGTTAGTGACTATTTATGTAATTTACCTTAAATTTAATCATATTTTTTTATCAATTCATGAATAATAAAATAACAAATTATCAAAACAAATTCATAATATCAAAGCATAAAATACAAACAATTTAAGACTCCTTTCATATAAGACTACTTTTGTAACACCCCCAACCCGTATCCGACCCGGATACGAGTCCGAAGTGTCACATTGACTTTTCAAACATTTATTCGTATCAAATAGTGAGTAATTTAAAAACTTTGATAACATTTAACTTATTCAAAACGTTTACAAAATATATCAGAGTTCATACAATTTATATCTTTAGACTACATGCCAACTACACTCTATAAACAGTACCTATATTTTCTGATCTGACATTTGGTAAGGAAAACTGACCTGTCTTGCTCCGCATTCCTCTTTACTCTTCGCGAAACCTACGTGTGAAACAATCACACGCTAAGTCGAAGACTTAGTGAGGCATAAAAACTTATAATGCACTTTATAACATATATCAATATATGCATGTTCTGTTCTATCATACTATACCAAATTACATGACTTCCTCTTATCATGTAAAATTATATCAGATTAATTAACAATAAATACATACATACACATAAATCATCATTAGCAGTTTATCATGTAATCACATACTTTTATGCTTAACCTTTTCAATCAAACACTATACACACACAACATCATATCATTTGTAATACATTTATCATATCACTAACATATATTTGTTTATATCTCTTGATTAGCCCATGTACACCTGTGATAACTGTAGATATGTGAGTCTATTAAGGTTGTGCACCACTATGCTGTCATCACAGCTCATATAAATGTCCCGAAGAACCTATCCAGAGGTCATAAAGATCCTCGGTAACTATCCAGAGGTCATAAAGATCCTCGGTAACTGTCCATAGGTCCCGAAGAACCTAGGTAAACTGTCCATATGTTCCTTAGAACATAGGTATACTGTCCATATGTCTCGAAAGACATAGGTAAAACTGTCCATATGTTCCGTAGAACATAGGTAAACCCTCGACTCTTGGCATGCCAACTATACCCCTAGCTCTCATGACACATAACATGGGCGTTATCATTTATTTCATTTCAAATATTCACATAAACTTGTAATTCACTTTCCCATATCACGTATCACATAGCTTCTTTTCATATTATCACATAGTCACGTAGTTCACTTACACGTAGATCATTTCCATATAATTCACATGTCACGTATATCATGTTTTCATATAATTCTATCATTTCTCACCCAATCACATTTATTCATGTAAACATACTTATCATATCTTATTCACATAAGATCATATACTTCATATAATATATAGAAACACCTAGAACACTTTCACGTAGCTTATAGTCGTAGGTATTATCTCATAACATGTACTTGTTTTCAAATATATATATTTCATATCATATATAGAAACACCTATAAGTCATATCACTTAGAGCACATATACTTATAGTCACATTGCTTATATCTTATTCTTATGCCTTCTCTTAGATATATATATATCCTCACGATTTATCCTAATATAAATCATATAGCACTCTTATAATTCATATTCATATTCATCTATGGCAGACTTATAAACACATCTCACTTCTATTACTTCTTTATATATATAATCTAATCTGTTTACTTAAATCAATTTCATATAACTCCTATAATCTTCTCATATAACTTCATAACCTTTCTTATGTAATTACTTATACTTTATCATCTAACACATAAAAGAACAGATCAATCCATATAATCAAGCATACATACATGCATATTCCACTCATGCCTTTAATCATGAATTCATGTGTAACACTTTAGGAAATAGACTCATCGCAAGTCTTATTCCCATCGCACATCGTATACTATTGAATATGCACTCACCTGGCCTCACTAGTCAATTCCAATCTCTTATATTTCCCCTTGATCGATCTTACTTGCGAAACGTTCCGGAATTGCTTTATGCGTAGAATCTACATAAATGTACATTTTAAGGCAATCATTAGATACCTACACCTTGTAATTGGATACTAGCAACTTAAACGAACTTATTAAACCAATATACACATTTTTCCTTTAGGGGGAATCGGTTCCCTACTATGGGGATATCGATTCCCTAATGACATTCTGGAAATATTGTTCGTTTGAAGGGGTATCGGTTCCCCTTGAATGGGTACCGATTCCCCTTGCCCAGAAATCATATTTTAGCCCGAAAATTACTTCATTTTCTCTCAAACACTTCATATATCATCCCCTTTTCATTCTTAACTCTAGTACACATACTTAAACCAATCTATATTCATTTATTTCATCTTAAACCTCAAAATCCTATCTTCCATATGAGATTCAAGAATCATACCAAATTTTCAATGTGTTCTAATTCCAATTCTAACACTTCATACTTCTTAATTAGATTGATGACAAGTCAAATTCATTCTTAGAATTTCAAAAACCTTACCATGTCAAAATTTCATCTTAAAACTCATATTGCAAATTCCTTCATAATTCCTTTATCTTATTGTTTAAATCCCATATAAGCTTTCCTTAAGCTTATTTAATACCCAAAGAATCAAAACTAAGCTTAAAACTCAAGAATTAACCAACTGAAATTAAACTTACCTTTGCCTTGCTCTCCCACGTATGAAGAAGAAGAAAGGAGAAGAGCACTCTGGATGGTTCTCACATATCCCATGTTTATATTACCCTTAAAAAAGAATATAAAAATCTTTCTGGTCAAATGACCATTTAACCCTTAATTTCCTTTAATAATTACTAATTAACCTTCATCATATATATCCAATAATCATTGAAATATTTCATTCTTATACTTTAGTCACCAAATTCTAAAACTTTACAATTTGGTCACTAACCCGGTATTGCGGATGTTACAACTTTCATATGAGGAAAGGGCTTGACAGGAACCGGTCCTAAAAAATTCAGAATAAACACCTTTTGTTGATTAGTTATTCTTTTAAGGATTTGGATTCGAACATCATATATGTTAAAAGTGTGTGCGTTTATTGTTAAAAGATTGAGAGTTATCTTTAAACAAATATT